TGCTCTCCCAAATATCATGATTGGAGAAAAGGAAGAATTCATCCCTGTGCCACTTGAGCAGGTTTCTGGGCAACTTGTGTTATTAATTGCTCGTTGGTTTGATTAACATCTTCTTGGACAGGTGGTGCATCCATTCTCGGTATGGGCAAAAACAATGGAAGTTGGCCTGGTCCTTCCTGCTGATGGATGATACTGTAGAATGGAATGTGATCTCGAAGACGGTATCTGTGGTGGAGGATTTCACGAACATCACGACCCTGCAAATTCATGTTAAGATTTCACATAGAAAAGGTTTTAAGTCCAACTTACCTCTGCTGGAATAGTTTCAAAAAATGAGCATAGTTTGAGGAGCTCTGTATCATTTCGATCATGAAACCAACTCTCAATGGGAACTCCATTATTCAATTGATAAGCGAATGATTGAATAGCGTTATCCAGAATTATTGTCTTTGTCATATCCCTTCCTAGGATCGACAAATCTTTCACATAGTTTCCATAGACACAGACACAATGCTCCCGAAACAATCGATGTTTGATTATTGTTTTCTGCGGGTCAAGGATATCCTGAAAGTTTCCCGTAGAATTAATTAAGCCGTTTTAAACATAAATCACTTACACATAATTTGTTTGCGTAGCATTTCTTACTCGCGGTGAAGACGATAATCTCGAAAACTTTAGACATCCGAGTCAAAAAAGTTCGAAGAAAAGGTCGAATACGAACATATACTTGGTAAGTCATGCCTTGAAAATCGACTGGAAACACCATGTTTGAATTATCCAAATAATTCAAACTGCAATGAACAAGAGTTTCATCCTGAAAATTGGAAAAAATCTTACTATTATAATGATGAGGATTTGGTATTCTTAAAATTTCCAGGTGCTCATTTTGATGAATTCCAGACGGGATGGTATTATCAAATGAACAAAAATGCATGGATAATCTTGCAAACAACCACTTTGTTCAGTAATCATAACTTTTCTATATCTCCAGCAAAGCAGTTAAAAAGGAACTTCAAAAGAGACGGAGCCTATTGGCTAGTTGAAAAAAAACTAGTTTCAGATTTTACAAAGTTATGTTAAATTGAGCCCGAGATAATCTCTTATACAGTACACTCCAAACATTTTGTCTAATTGTCCGGATTCCGGGAATTTTCCAGTTCCCATTCCCGTATTCCAGGTTCCGGAAAATTGGTTTTATTCCGGATTCCGTGAAAATTTTATTTGTCCGGATTCCGAAAAAAAATGTTTTACTCCGGATTCCGGTTTTTTTTCTCAAAAAAGTCATTTCGGACATCTTTGCTACTGACCACAATAATATAATCAAAATTAAAATTTTTACTATAATCTATAATTCTCGGCATTTAAGTTATCTTTTTCACATTGGATTAGTTAAAACTCCATCTAAGTATGGTACCGTACTTGCTTACTTATTAACAGAAACACATGTAATCAGAAAAATAATTTAATCAGTTAATTGTATTAAAGCAGGTTTTCAGACATTTTTTTCATACTAGGTATCTTCAATAAAAAAGTTGATCTCAAAATTTGGACATTAGTTTGATGAGTTTCTTGAATGTTTATATACTCAGAATGCTCTGAATTCCAATAGTTTAAAAGTAAATTATATTTTGAAACAATTGGAAAAAACATTAGAAATTGAAACTACCGTAAAAACTCTATTACACTCTATTGTTCGGAGGTGGTCGGGAGTGGCACTGTATTAGGGGGTGGCATTCAATTAGAGGTTGGCACTTTATTGTTCGGTACTAAAACCAATCACAAAAGAACTTGATTTTCAACTTTTTCGTGAAATGACTTTCGAGGTTTCCTCGATATTTCTACCTCTTTTATAGAGACTTCCGAAGTCTGATATCACTCTTTTGCCTCACCCATAAAAATCACGTATTTTAGATGCTTAATAAATTGAATTGAATTGAATTGAATATCATACTGAAACATTGTTGACAAATACAGTACCTCCTTGAAAAAAAGCTAGAAAACCAGAAAATGATGAGTTATTCTTCAACTTTTATTATAGTGATATCAACCCCGCAGTGGCATTATATTAGGGGCTAGCACTCTTTTGTTCGGAGGTGCTCTAGGATGGCACTATATTAGAGGCTGGCATTCAATTAGGGATGGCTATCTAATAGAGTTTTTCGGCATTTCCCTCTTTTTTTGTAAGCATCACAATTCATTATAACGTATTTTCTTTAATAACTTCGAGCTGCATTATCTCGATTTCTGTTACAGATATCAAAAAATAGTCAATCGATAAAATATTGATATTATAATAAACAATTTATTAGTTCACAAAATTTTGATATTTCTCACAAGATTCGAGATAATTGAGCAAAGGTGACGGTTTGGGTGGTCTCCCATTAGAGGAAATACGGTATTTAAGAAAAGTACTCTTATAAAATTCTAAAAATATAAAAGTTTCATTAGAAATCATTCTAAATATTTTTGAACCAAAATTTTCTCTATCATATATCCTATACCACTCAAAGAAGTTTGAAATCTTACCAAATCCAAGACCAGCGTGTATTCTCCAGAAGACCTTGTCTTTATTGGAAGTGCTGCATTCCTACTCAGGATTTCTTCTGCCAAGGGTGGCAAGTTTGCAAGCATCACCATTCTGAAAATTCTTATGATTTGTTTTCGCGAATTCCCCACCCAGCAGAGTTTCAATTATTCTAGATTTTTCTTTTTTTTTCTCTTATCAGTCTTCAGTTGTGCAAACATACTTTCTTTCATTGACATTTCAATTGTTTTTACAGTTTTGGTTTTTCTTTTTTCTCTAATCGAACTAAAAGCCAATTGGCATGCTTCCAAGGTTTATTGCGCAATCCAATCCGAAATACCTGCGTCTCTCAAGCCGGCAAACAGCGTCGGCAAATTCATTTGCTTAAAGAGAAACCGATCGATTTAGATAAAATCATATTTCTGCTGGTGCTTTTTTATCCTATGTTCACCCCTAATTAGAGGGCTGGTGCTTGCAAATTATAAGTTAACGGTTATTGAAGAGAAGCAAAAAAGCTGTTTCTACGAAGATATTGAGCTGGTAAACATTGCGAGTTGACTATTAGCTTTAGTCTCTATCTCTTCATTTTTGACAAACTTTTTTCTCTGACCTAATTTTTTTTTCGATAAATCTTACTTGATTCAAGCCTCTCGAAGTTTGAGAATACAAGAAAACAAATTCCGTATAAATTACAGTATTTAAAACGTTCGAAAAAGAATTGCTGACTTCACCAAAGTCAGTCGAAACTCAAAAATATATATAAAAAGACTCACGCATCATAATCCAATCTCATTGGTCCTTCATGATGATCAAGCTCTTCTTCATCGACTTCTCTGTCTACTGGCCATACCAATTCAGGAATAGTGTTATTCATTCTGTGACGCCTTTTTGGAATTGGAATGATAGGAATACGATTGACAAGAAGTGGAGCAGGGGTTGGAATGACTGATGGTTGCGTTGGTGGTGTACGCTTCTTTACAGTCTTGGGTTTTGGCTTTTCTGTCAGTGCCTTTGACTTTTTCGACACTTTCCGCCTGACAGCAGAAGACGAAGATGTCACCTTCTTCGTCTTCTGATTCTGGAGTGTTTTAGAACGGCGCCGCAGTGTGCTCGGCAACACTCTCACCGCACAGGGAGGGCGAATGAAAAAAAAAGTTGGTGGGACGAGTGGAGAGAAATGAGGGGAAAGGGAAAGAAAGAAGGAAGAAGGAAAAACGACAGCTAAAATTTATTCTCTCCTTCTTCTTCTTTTTCTTTTTCTCTCATGTGCTATGTTGTTGCTGCTGTAGCAGAAAACGGAAAAGCGGTAGCACTGGGTAAGGGAAAGGGAGAAAATAGAGTAGTCGGGAGGGTATGGGAGAAGGAGGAGTCTCTGTGGGAAGAGAAGAGAAAGAGAGAGGTGGGATCAATAGTTGACCGCCTCCCCTCCTCTTCTCTTTTCGATGTATGTTGGTGTGTTTGCTGTTGGCACGACGCCAAAAATTGTCCTCTTCTCTTTCTCCTATTTCTTCTCTGGCTTCTCACCGTCTCTCTTCTCTCTTCTTTCCGTTGTCGCCCACCCAGGCCTGCCGAGTGAAGCAACAACGAAAAATAAGAAAAATGCAATCTATATACACATATATGCATACACACGACACAAAAAAGAGAGAAAAAACGGAAGAGAAAAAAGAGAAAAAAAAAGAGAAAAACAGAAAAAGAAACATTGGGCGAAATGTGGTAAATAAGTGAAAAAAAAATTGGAAATCAAAACATTTTCGAGGGAATAAGAGTAGAATGAAAACACCATTAAATTGGAAAAAATAGGTTTGAAAAAGCTTCAAGTGTTTTTTTGAGTTTTTAGAAACGGCTCAACACATAGATAAAGATATTCCTAGATTCAAATTAAACCATTGCGAGGGAATTCTAGAACAATTTGAGATGGCAAGTTTAAAAATGATGCCTGAAATTAAAAGTTTTTGTTGTATTTTATCACCAAATCAGTCGGCCTAAACCTCCTGGCCTCCGCTTACAGTAACTGTAATCTTATAAAGAGCTTTTGTCACTTTATCAAAAATTTTTTCCTAAGCTTTACGGAAAATTTAGAATTTAGAATTTAAGAGCTTCAAGAATTCATAATTCGGATACTCAAAAGTTCTTTAATTTCGAAAAATGTTTTTATTAAGAGAATTTCAGACAGATACCCAGAAATTTATAGACATGGAAGTTTGAAATTTCCGAATTTCGGTAGTTGGAAAATTGAAAAATCTCAGGTAAACGATTCGGAATTAGATCTGACTTCATTCGGAATTAGATCGAATAACTCGAAATTCGGAATTAGATCTGAGTTCATTCGGAATTAGATCTGGACTAGATCTAATACCGAAGTTGCCACGAGAAATGCGCCATCAATGACTCAGCTACCGCGGATGAATTGTTTTGTTTTTTTTTTGTTGTCCTAAATTTTTTTCGTCAGGAAAATGGGTATTTCTCTCAACTTTTGCCTTTTTTTTTCGCTCAATTATTTAAACTATATTTTCTGGAGCATATTTTAATGTGTTGTGCACGTTTTTGCAAAATTTTAGGTGAATTTTTTTAGGGACAGCTGAATATTCAAAGTTCAATTTATATATACGATTTCTATAGAAGACAGTAATTCTATGAACCGACAAAAATACGAATATTTTGAAGATTTTAAATTCGGAGAAAACTCTGCAGGTAAGATAATTTTTGCCCTTTTCAGCTTAAAGGATTACGTAAAAACGATGCAAGGGATCACCGAAAAAACAAGAAAAAAAGAGATGATAAATTTCTCTGATAGTGAGCTCAATTTACTCAAGTCGAGAAGGCCTTACTTTTGGAAGCCGTGTCTTGTCATGAGCAGGTTAGTTTTCGAATGTCTGGTGGACAAAGAAACGTGCGTGAAATTGCAGGCTCTCAACCGAATGTGTCATGACCCGATTAAAACGATTCAAAATTTTGGGATTTGTTGTATAAAACAACTGCTCTGATGAATTTATTTGGATTTGCAAAGATTTGAGTACGGAAATTATATTGAAATGGCTCAAGAATGGCATTATTGAATGGCTATGACAAGAGAATTTTCAAAATCGAAAATATGGACGAGCGGAAGAATTCGAATTGAGATTTTTTTTTTCATAAATTTTGTCACTTTTTCTTATCTCATAGGTCCCATTATTCTCGCTGATCTCATCGTTTTCTTTTTTGCTGATCCCATTCATTCATTTGTATCACACCCCTCATTTTCGTTCCGATTTCCTAATCTACATTTTAATCAATGTTTTTCTTTTTCTCATACTTGTTCTGTTTTCTTTTTTAATAAATGTTATTATAAATAAAGTGAATGGCGTTGAAAAGAAAACAAAATTTGAAAAGCGCTCGCTACGATGCTCCGAAATCCCGCTGGTCTGTTCGGAATTAGATCTAATTCGTTCGTAGTTCATTCGGTGTTCGTTCGGAATTAGATCAGCTAAATTCTGTATTAGATCATGCCACTTCTATTTACGAACGAACCCAGATCTAATTCCGAATGAAGTCAGATCTAATTCAGAATCGTTTACCTGAGAGGATTTCCGAGTTTTCAGATCGCTGATTTATTTTGTGAATGTTAATCTCCCAGTTAGGGATTTATCAATATGCGTGATTTCTTAAACTCTGAATTTCCAAAATTCTGAAAATCGAAATTGCTC